ATGCGGTTCTCTGCCAGCCTCTGCATTTAACGATGGTAGATTTTTACCTGCGACCATCAAGAGAGTTGAAATTCGGAGCTATAAGGGAGTGGAGTCGCTCGGGGAGATAAATATAGAGCCTCTTCAGTCTCTTCAAGTGATCGAAATTAGGCATTGCGATTATTTGAGAAGCTTACCCCAGGACCTCCATACACTGTCCCATCTCACTTCCTTGATATTGAGCGACCGTTTTGCTCTGGAGCTGGAGTGCTTCCCTCCTCTTCCTCCTTGGCATCTTGAAATTTTCTCTTTGGGGGTATCCAAAGATAAAATCGTTACCTAATCAGTTGCATCGACTTTCATGTCTCTGTGATTTGGAAATTACAGGGTGTGAGAGTATTACACGCTTTCTTGATGAAGGATTGCCGCCCCAGCCACAGGAACTTACGGTATGAAAATGCAAGAATATGAAGCAGCCGATGAGAGAGTGGCTCACCCCCTCACCTCCCTTTGATCTCTATGGATCGACGGCAGCACTGTAGGAGTGAGAGAGGAGGAGGATCTTCGGCTTCCACTCCCTTCCTCTCTACTCTGTCTCCATCTCCGTCTCCATCTCTATGATATGGGGAATTTCCAAAGACTATCCAGTAGTCTCCTCCCTCTCCCCGGACCTTGTGGATTAAACGTTGCCCGAAGCTGAAGGGAAATGCCTCACGATGGCCTCCCTCCCTCCCTAGAAACACTCGGGATCGAAGGATGTGGGATTCCCAAGGAGCGATGCTTGAGGCTGACCGGCTACTATTGGCCCCTCATCCACGAAATCCCCAATGTTAGATTCAGTTATTACGAATCTAAGTCTATTACGAAACACGGGTTTTTTGGACCCAGATATTATGTATGACTGCCGGTTCAAAGTGTTGACTCGGAAACCGAACCGGTTATGGTCGATTCCACGGATTCATATGCAAGAACTTCTCCGGTTCATCCGAGAACATTCAGCAAATGAGGGACTGGCTATGGTTTTATTCCCTGATTTGATCCGATTTTTGAATTGAACGGGAACAATGCTCATCCTACATGCCATGGTGACGATCAGGGGAGCTATCAAAATGCGGGAATCCGTTGGTGCATGAAAGGACGTTACAAATGGGAAGCGTTCGAAGTTGGTTTTGCAAGATTTTAAAAACGTGGAGGAAGCAAGGGCCGATGATTTATCAGGGGTTTATAAAGTTCTTGACGGGACGAAGAAGAAGATACACGCACAACATATATTCCCTCCGGAGTGTCTTCTACACTTCCTTGTACTTTACGATTCCTATGTAATTGTAATCCGATCCCGTATTCTAATTCCACATATTTCATTCCCTGACAATTTCTCGCATTTAGAATTGCATAGATTCATCACTCCATCCATCCCTCGTTCGTGCGCTTTGCGCTCACAATCTTGGTTGCTCTCTAATCATCCGAATTTCGGGTCCACTCAGTCGAATTTCGTTAAGAGTTCAGTACAACGATGAAGTACAGGACTTCCTCTTCTTCCGAAGCAATTTGCCTTTTCATATTCCATACCGAGCAGAGAGAGAGAGAGACCAAAACTGCACTAGTTTAGCAGATCGAAAGGGAGTACAAATGAACATAAAGCTATTGTGTACTGCACTTTCCTGACCGACTGCAGCGTAAAAGGCTGACTCTAGATGTGCGGAAATCGCAGATCTTTGTGCATGCTTGAGAAAATGAAAGACTCCCTCGATGCAGAAACATCATTGAGTGCAGCGTTGATGAAATCGCTTTCTAGGGTTCTTGCTCTTCTTTTCCAATCAAAATTCACGGATCATGGAACGAGATAGTTTGGTCAGCGCTGCACTCAATTATGTTTCTATGTTTGGGTCGGCTACGTCGAGACTTTGAGGGATTTTCAGGGTTGCGTTTGCGCACAACGCGCGCATGCATTTGTGCTCTTGTCGTATGGATTGTTAGGCAGCAACAGATCTAGAGTCCCTTTGTTTGGGAGGTTAAGTTAGAGTTATGTTACTGTATATTGATTTTATGATACAAAGTTCATTGATGATCGCAATTTAATGCAGAGTATTCATGCATAAAGAGAGGTTATCACTAAACTATAGCTATATATATTCATTTGTGACGATAATCACCATGAAGTCAGGCAATATTTTGTGTGCGAGAGTTGCTCCTGCTTGTGTTGATCAAGGCCCAGTGAGACATCTTCTTTGCCTTTGGAAGTAGACCCTTTTCCTAAAATAATTCACATTTAACTTTCACACCTTCTGAACCCCCCTCTCCCAAATAACATCAAAGACTTGCATTTTGCAGTTGCAGAAGTATTACCTGGTAGGGTTTTGTTTTCTTTTTATTTATTCATTCCTTTTCCCTCTCTTTTTTTTAAGCATTTAAGTGTGTTAAGTAATCATACCCAAACTTAGAGCTCGGCATATCCTTTTCGTTTTTATGTACAGGTGATTTTGTCATTTTTGATTTCATTGACACTAATGTTCAAGCACGAGGTACGCTTGGGCACCCAGATACGTGATTGTACGAAGAGAAGAGAATGAATAGTTATACAAGGAAATGGGAGAAGTGGAAAGTTGCCATAAATATGATAATTATGAACTTATTATCTTTTCATTATTTAATACAAGGGTAATTTTGAAAAGTTAAAAAGTGAGATAAAATCCATTTCGACCTGAATAATTAGATTTTTCATTTTCAAAAAGAAATAGTGTTATTATTTTTTTGATTCAAGGGATAAGTATACTCGAAGTCCTAAAAGTTGTCGCGAAAATGCAATTGAGTTTGTCCTAAAACTTGTCAAGGTGCAATTGAGTCCCTCCATTAACTTTGTCCCATTCGACTAATGAAAAATGTTAATGTGGCTTTTTTGTATTATTTTTCCTCTCCTAGTTGTATTTTCCCAAATCATAATTTTTTTTCCCTCAAATCTTAATTCAATCTTAACTGCAAATAGGTTGTTCTTGTTCTGGTTCTCTGCTTTGTGGTGTGAACCGTATTTGTAAATTGCCCAGAAATTCATCGCGAATCCTCTCGTGATCACGCTCCTTAGCTTTGAGACCCAGTTTTCCCCACTTGAAACATAATGCCAGGAGATGTTCATAAGAGAATATGATCCACGATGGATTCATGTCCTTGCATTTAAGAATCAAATGGTTGACTGACATCATCAACTCAACCTTGATTCTTACGAACTCATGCATAACTTCATAAGGATGCCTTTCTGATTGCACATCAAGGGGAACTCCATGGATTTGCAACCAGAATCGAGTGGCGGTAAACTCAAAGATTGAACTCCTCTAGCGCAGCACTCCGGACCCAAGGACATAGGCACGAGATGAGGTCGCACCACGGTCCAGGATACCCCACACTCAACTCGAAACTTAACGGGCTCTTGTTCGAAGGTGGAGAGGAAAACATTCGTCGCCCTTCCTTCAACATGTATCCATTGAGAAGGGAGGCTGGGAGTGGTTGCCAGCGGCCGCGTTGAGCTCACCTAGTCACTGGCACAAGTCCGGTGACCGTTGCTGGAGGCTGGCGACGACGGCCGCCTTTGTCAATGGTCATGGTCGGTAATGAGATATGAACTTGAAGAAGATATAAAGAAGAAGAGCAATCTTCATCCTCAGACCAATCGAACGGTTCAAGAGATGAAGATATCTATATTTTTATATCCTCCTTTCTTTAAATATTTTTCTTTATCTTTTATCTTTTTGAAATTTTAAATTTGTTATGATGCGACCATTGTTAAGCACTGAGAAAATTTATGAATAGTCACGTCAATATTTTCTCCTAGTCAAGTTGGACGGAGATAATGTAGAAATTTGATTGCATCAATTTGATAAATGTTGAGACTTAATTGCACTTTTTTTTGTACGTGCATCCAAATGCCCAGTAAGCTAGTCAATTATAGAAGAAGTAGACAGGAATGCTTCTTCGACCCGAAAAAGGAACAAAGAGAAACAAAGGTCCAACAAGTCGCAAAAGGTAAAGGCCTAAGCCCATGTATACCGAAGCGGGAAAGGGCGTCTTCCCCCAACGAGTCAGGCGAAATGCAAGCAGTATGTAGCCGAGCGATCTCATTCAGCAATTGCAGACACCTAAGCTTTACGTGAGACGAGATGGGCAGTTTAGATAACTTAGTTCATGATGAAATGAATCTAATCAAAATTTTCTTCAACATAAACTTTCGAGTAATGTTTATTCGAGAAAATTGGTAGAATAAGAGCACCGATCGCTTCTAGAGTCGTACCATTTTTCGGTGTCATCGAATGAATGTTACAAAAATGCATGTGAAAACTTGTGCATAGTACATTATACCCAATACAAATCGATCACACCCTATTATGCGTAGACCACATAAACAAAGTTTTACTTTTCGTATCTGATTACAAGAACTAACTTCGTCCAATATGATCTAATCTACCATTTGCTTCAAGGACGTACCCATGTTGCCAAATCCACAGAACAAGACGTTGAGGCCGTAAAAGTACTCTCTTGTTGTCTACAAGATTCATATATATATATAATCTCCATCAACTATTAATTTAAGCTTTTTGATTAGACTATCTAATATGATATCAAAGCTAAGTTTGGTGTAGTTTATTTCGTTAGTGTAACCCCCACTTGTTAAATTCAACATGTCATTCCTAGTGCAGCTTGTACCTGAGAGGTGTAAAAGTATTATCTCACATTACTTGTTTACATGATTCATACGCTCATTCACATACATATGCGACTTTTGGTTTGAACATGCTAATACAGACCAGCAGAGAAAAAGGAGGATCTATCAGCATTTCTTATCTGTAAACAACAAAGGAAACCTCCTCCGTCCTTGAGCTCATGTAAAAGCTGCTGAATCACAGACTATAGATTCAAATTCAACTCCTGCATTTCCTTCGATGTTGAACTGAACAAAGCCCTTCTTGCAATGATCCGAATAAAGATTATGGCCACAGATGAGAATCAAGAGAAAAGATTAGGAAGGACAAAAATGGTGGAAACACGTGCTAAAAGTTTCTTTTTATCTCCGGTTGAAATACAAAACATAATCCATGAGCTGTAAATATAAACATGATATTATGATGCCATTTCTTGCACCAAACACAAATACAATCTGCTTACAAAGAATATGAAAGATTTGTAGTATCGTCATCATCTACACAAAAAGGACCGGGGCCTGGGGACCTGCACCACCATGTTAACTGTGGTGGACTACCGCCTCAAGCTCTCCACAATGTAGTCAGCATAGAGGTTCCTTAATGACAAAAGTCGGAAGAATGATAAGTGATTTGCACAAGCAATACACAATGTTAAAAAAACGGAACTGAAAGATAATAGTAAGTCCCTTCGGTACAAATTTGGATAAAAGCAAAACTAAAAAGCTTCGGAGTTCGATAGCCCGAAAAGGATTAATTTGAAATGAAGCACCAACTTACATTTGTAAACACGCCACTGACTGAAACATACTTAATTCATATAGTGATTAGATGCCCAAATAAATCTTGGAAGCATTAGACAGGAAATAGACTCATAAATACTTCAACTCCTTCTGACAAAGATATTAACTATTCTATAATGGAGATAACTGAGATTTAGCTCCCAGATTCATCAGGAGGAAAAAGGACATTTAAGTCGCTAGCTTATTGCAGGTGCAAGAGTAACTTAGAGAATCACTTACATGGAGTGCTGGATTGCTTCATAGGCAGCAGAGGCAGGAAGAAAATCATTCACTGCAACCTCCTTATTCTCATTTTTCTTGTCTGTTTAGCAGATTAAGGATTATCAACCTTGCTTCATAAAGAGCATAGTACGGATTCCTATATGTAGAGCACTTTTAAATAAAGGCAGTATCAAGGATACAATCTTCAAAGAAGCGACGGATTTCAGCCAAACGATGGGGAGGGAGATCCTTGATATCATTATAGTGTCGGTACTCAGGATCATCGGCGCACACAGCAATTATCTTGTCATCTTTCTCACCCTGTAAATCATAATCAGTAATTCTTCTAGAAGAGGGAAGACAATGATAAATACTTCTTTCGACTGTTCAAACTGGGTACCTGATCAATCATAGGCATGAGGCCTATAGCTTTAGCCCGAAGAAAGCATCCAGGAAGAACAGGCTCCTGCGGTGTTTCAGTCATCGATGACCAAATTAGTTTTGCACAAATTGACCAGAATAGGCTTTGTTTGTTAACTTATGAGAGGTTTTGCTACATTGATCCTGCCCTTACTAAAATATAATCTAAGCTAGATCCATATCATCAGCATCGATTGGAAATTTTTCCCTGTATATAAAGAAAAAGGCGCACGTCAAACAACATACCTGCATGATGATTAGGACATCCATCGGGTCATTGTCCTCACAGAGAGTGCGGGGAATGAAACCATAGTTGTGGGGATACACAACTGATGAGTAAAGTATGCGGTCAACCTAAAAATATAGAAGTTACGGTTAAACAACTTTTGATCAACTATACAGTCTTGATATGAAACTTGGCTGGAAAAACCGACGATTACCTTGATGAGTCCAGTCTTCTTGTCAAGTTCGTATTTCACTTTGCTTCCTTTACCAATTTCAATCACCTGCAAGAATGTGTCTTACAGTCAGTAAGTCACTCAGTCGAGGATAGTTGTCTCCTTCTATTCAGGTTTACGCAGAGTCAGTCCTTTTCCCTTTCTGAAAATTCAGTATTAAGGTCCAACAATCACAAATGTTTATAGGGATGGCTGTGGCGGAATCTAGCATTGAAGAAGGTGAAATGAAGAAATTGCCACAGAAAGAAGATTCAATATCCTAACGGAAATCGACTTTTCTGCTATGTAAACCAATGAGTAACTGGTTCCCTAAGAATGACCTTTTCTTTCGCACCTCATCATGAGGTCCAAGGTTTCAAGGTCTGATTTATGATCTCCTTCTCAGAGAAGGAGATCCCAGTTTATGACCTCTTGGCATAATGGAAATTGAGTTGCAATATCAACGCTGACAATGTCATCGGTATCAACCCTACTCATAGAAGGCAGTTTTCTTCTAGTTATGAAGCTACCCACGCACAGCGTTAAGTCTTCAATGTTTTCTTATTAACGTAGAAAATAGATACTAAAAGTCTAAAAAACAATCAAAATTATCACTGGTGAAACTACTCTAGCCTCTCCTCCAATGTACCTATGCCCTACTATACAAACGGTGCGGTAATGACAGTTTGTACACTTACACAGTTGAAAACTGTTGGAGCTCCAGGACCTGACAAAGAGAATGACATAAAACTCAGACAAGAAGAAGGGAAAACTAGAAAAAAGAAGAAGAACAAGTTCAGAAATACAATACCTATCTCAAGATCATGCCAAGGGTGTGCAGCAATAGACCTCCGGGACAATGATGAAAGGATCCTTTCATTAAGAGGTGGATGCGGTGTACGATGAGCGTCGGTACTCTTCTGAACAGTCTCACTAATGCTGGGTGGTGCCATCTCTGCAGAACGGTTATGAGAAGTTTCAGAATTACTCTTTTTCATACAGCTTCATTGAGAAAACGTGAATGCACCACCAAGAAAGCAAGAAAGAAGAGTTAACCACAACATGGTTACATTCATCGACGCATGCCAAGTCATGGTAACCCCATGTTGCCAGCAATAGTGGATAAACAGGAATTCCATTGACTATAAACTCTTCCTTCATATAAGATACCGAAGGAGTTGCACGACTTTAGTACCTTATGCCAACTAGACAAGCAGGTGACGCCATTTGATGGGAATTCAAGCATGAGTAAATAGGCCAGGGAAATCAAAGCAGAGAATAAGCAAGCAATTCTTAAGTCCGGCAAAAACGGATCCAGACGACTTGGAAACATTCCTAAGTCCAATTCGTTCCCCTGAACAGCAATAACAATGCAGTCTTGCAGCAGTCCTAGCGCACGACAAGCTTCCGTCCTTGACTAAAAAGATCCCGAATGGACCAAGCAAGCACGTTCCAAAGCAGGAAACACGGAACGTCTCGCAGATCTCGCAGTCGGTCCCAACAAGATCAACGAAAAACGGAAATGAAAAGGGGCCATCGATCCGCCACAGGAATGATGAATCTGGTGGCAGGCACCGTCTCGCCATCAACATCGAAGAAATCACCAAACGCGACGCGGCACGATGCGTATGGCTCTGCTGCAACGCCTACCGAATAGGCCAGCATACGCAAGGTCCATCCAACTCAGGAGATTAAGAACTCAAGCAAAGCCAGTAACAGAGCGGAACCAAACACAGATCCGCTGCCCAAAAAGGACGCGCGTCGGAAACGACAACGCTCAGGCTCGGACAGCCGACACATCCTGAAGAAGAACGCGACACCGCATCCACAGATCACCGACACAAGCAACGGAAGACGAGCGGACCCAAACGCAAGCAAAAAGAAAAAAAGAAGAAACGCGCGCACAGCTGGAGAAGCACAGCGAAGACGATCACCGGCGCAGCACGAGCCAATGTCGAGGAGCTGTCGACCGCTCCCAGCCGCGACGGCACAAGACGAGAGTCAACAAAACGGAAAGAAGAAGATCAAAAGAAGGAGACAAAACGATGCGAGGGACGGCACAAGGAGCAGCCGGGGGACGGAACCTGTAACGGCCTCGAGCTCGCTCCAGCAGGACGGATCTCAGGAAAAGAGGAAAAGAGGAAACGCGAAAATGGGAGAGCAAAAGAAGAAAGGAAAGCCCAAAAAAAAAACGAAACCCTAAAGGAGAGAGGGAGACGGCCACGCACCTCCTCCTTCTCGTTCTCGTTCTCGAGGGAAGAGCCGAGAGCTAGCGGGTCTCTCTTCTTTCTCTCTTCCCGTGCGGTGCAGAGGAGGGGGAAGCTTTTGAGCTCGGGGAGGTGGTGGCGTGTTTGGGAATGTTCCCGCTCTGTGGCGACGGACAGACGGACGGGGCCAACTGTTTTAAAGACGGAGGAGGGGGAAATGGAACGGGAGGAAAACGGAATCCCCCCCCCCCCGCATATTCTGTTGTTTTTGGGGAGGGGGGGGAGAGGGGGTGCCGTCGATGCCGTCGTGGCGCCAGCTGGCCCCGTCTCGTTCCCTTCGTTCCCTCCTCGCAGATTTTGGACCGCGTTGGGGCCCCGGGCCGCCCTCGACCCCGAGACTTTTACTTGGACCGCGTTCCTAACGGTCGTCGTACGGTGCATTCTCTTCTCTTCCCTCCTCCCTCCTTTCTCTGAGGAACGCTTCTTCTTCTTTTTTTTTTACCTAAAACTATTTTATGCATATATAATATTATATAATATGATTAGCACCACCGAAAACCCTCTGTTCTGATATATCGGTGCCAATGTGCCATGTTTGATCCGGACTAATTTTCGAATCACAAAACATTTCAAATCGGTACGCTCGTGCTGTACTTATCTTAGATCGATTTTTTTCGCATCTATATATCCGTGTCGTGTTAGTTCGGGAAAAACTGTGGCGTGGATGTACCGATTGGAGGTTTTTTACCATACGAAAATTTGTTTGGATTAAATGCGACATTAACGTAGCGATTTGGTTCTTTTTTTTTTTGAGGTATTAACCCAATATAGTATAATATATATATGTTATAATTGCGACCGAACCCAAATAAAAATCACCAAAATTTGGAAAAGATATGAAAAGATTATTTTTCTGCTAACAGACAAATATATGGGGGGGTAGGGGTGGGGTGGGGTGGGGTGTTAAGAGCACTTTTGTGGGAAACAGCCACTAATATCGTACCGGTATTAATAAAGTGTTCATATTGTCCCATCTAGAAAGATGAACATGATTATGATTTTCCCCTTTTTATTTTTATTTATGTTTTTTATTTTTTATTTTTATTTTATGTTTTTTATAATAATGGTGTGGGATATGGACGGTGGGGAGTCGTGGTTAAAAAAGGTTTCTTTTGGGGGACGTTCTTCGGAGGCGCACCTCCACGCGACAAGCGGTTGGAGGGCCTGCAATTATCAGGGGGCGGTCTCCAACCAACCGCCGTGGCCGGACGGTTCCCTCCCCCCTGGCCACCCGTCTTTGTTGTCCACTTGTTCATTCTACCCAACCAACGGAAAGAGCGTTGCGAAGCGGCCGGCCAGCCGGTGCCGTACTACCTTAAGCACGACTGCCTCGCGTTCGCCGCGAGATGCGCAGTTGCTTGAGCCACGGCTATTCTGCCCACACGCGATTCGAAGTCACGAGATCAGCAGATCCGTCGTCGCGGCCGCAATGGGGCGCCGAGATTCGGTGCGTCTCTTCGAGGTTGCTATTGTTCGAAGATGCAAAGCACGTTAGAAGTTCAGTCACGACAACTGCTAAGAACTTCACGGTCCAGTGAAAAGAGAAACAACTTGTTTTTCGTCGATCTATCATCAGTGTGAGATTTTGTGGGATCACTTTACCAATTATTGTAAAAAATTACGCTGTTAGATGAAGCGTGGACATATTTAATTGCTCGAACACTTCCTCTCGTACTTAGTCATTGGGGATTGGAAAGATTTGAATCCGGAATCTCCAACTATAATACCACGCGAAATTTTATGGGACTACTCTGCCAACTGTTCTAAACCAACTGACAAAGTGATCCCACAAAATCTCGCAGTCCGATTCGAGCCATCGCTTATTTATTTTATCTAATTTTTTTTTTTGGTAACTGAGGATCCGCCACCATTTCCCGGGAACGAGCCCGCATAGGTAATCGGAGCGTCTATACCTCGGGGGAGACTAGCCCAGCAACCCACCGCCAGGGCCCCCTAATTATTTGTTTATTGTTTGTTCCACATGAGTACGACAATTGCACGTCGGGCGCCATGGAAAACCTAAATTCCTCGGCTTGGACAGATCATGGGATCGCCATTGACTCGGACTTTTCAAGCGCATATGGTGTGCTCCGTGATTTGATGAGTCCGGCGTTGAGCCGGTCACCTTGATGAGTCTGAAATCGAGAAGTTTATGGACAAAAAGTCTTCGCCCGTGCATTTCAGACTTGGTCGCTACATTCCACCCGACGACGAACATCGCAGTACCACCTTACAATCTGTCATTACCTTACCACTTGGTCCAAGCATTGATCTTTCAACATTGTATTCACATAAATACCGAAAAAGGGAACTCGAACACCTCGCGCGTATTGCCGGCGTCTCGGAATATTTGAAGGGTGAATTTAAGACGGTAAGATTGTACATAAATTTAGGGATTCTCGATCTTTATTGTTTAAGGTAAAATGTACGAAAGAAATCAATCAAATCAGGAGTCACGTTTTTTCCTCGGGAAAAAACACGATGCTTAATTCCTAAGCGACATTCCAGCTTTTAGCATCAAAGTACGAATTAGAATATATTTCATTATCTTTTAACATTCTTGGCTTTCTCTATTCTAAAGGCTGTCTATTCACTAATTAGGATTGGTCAACCGAAGTGCTTAGCGTCGAGCACTGCACGCACAAGTTGGGCCGTATGTACTTTTAGAAAAATAAGAGGAGGATGGACCCGCCAACTTTGCAGCGATGAATCAGAAACGTAATCCATATGCCCCCTTTATTTACGCAAAGTGCTCTGGAACCTGAATATAGCCATTCTAGCGTTGCTTGCGTGTGGAAAACGTATCCAAATGAGGGAACTCTAGTCATGCAAACTTTAATTGGATCGACTCGCGAGACGCTCCAAAATTTATGGTAAGAAAACAACTGACGAGAGACGTAGGTAGTAGTTGCAATATATCCGAAGAAAATGGCCGCATTTCTCTCCATCCCTAAATCCAATTGGAGACTTGATCGGATCGAGTTTTCTTTACCCGGGGGTGGAGATAAATGAGCCGAAGGAAATGTCGTGGAGGCATATTTACTCCCGTAAAGTGTCTAGAGAAGAGAAATCCGGGAACATATAGAGTCCGTTCAATGAAGTAGGAAAGCCCCATTACTGTCATATAATTGGATAGTATACCTGATGATCTATTGCATTGAGTTTACGAAATTACATGTAGCGGTAGTTTCTTTAGATACGAACATATACATAGATACTTTGATCATACATACGCATACTCGAAGAGATCTACAAAGTCAGCAACTAGAGTGAAAACGAAATTGGGTATTATTTTCTATCAATTGAAGCTTTTGGATTGGAATATCTGATATATTATTGGAACTAGTGATCTCGAGCTTGATTTCTTCTAATATCATTTTGAATGTTTATTTTCTTTCTATATGTGTCGGGATTTAAGAATTTTCCATTCATAGTTGAGACATTGCAACTTCATAACTTTACCATCACTAGCCTTCAAAAGGAAGCGTTTGAGATACAAAATACAATAAGAGCCTTATCTAAGAGTGAATTCTCAGAGAGCAAATATTTATTATTAAGACCTAGCTTGATCCATGTGGGTCAAGCCCGCCAAAAGGAGTGTTTGTAAGTGACCATGAAAGGTGATGACAATATTATAATATTTCACTATTATATCACGCATTCGTCTAACAACTTAAGTTTTTAAAATAATTAGCGGCGGTTTTACAAAATCTCACGTGGTATCAAAATAGAAGGTTTTGAGTTCAAATCTTTGCAGGCCCTTATTTGCCTTCCCAATTATATATTTTCACGCTTTAGGCTTCGGCCAGAATTCAACCTTTACTCGAGGGGGAGTGTTATAGTATTTAAATATTAAATTACACATTCATCTAATGGGTTAATCTTTTAGCATTCTAAGCGACGGATGACAATTTGAGAATGGCCATATCCTAACGAGCTACGTCCATCCAACGCGGAGCTTCGTCCAATGGTCGTGCAATCTACTTAACCAACGTGGGGCTTCGTCCATCCAACGTGGATCTCATCGATTAAGGGTCTTCTAGATTGCTCGACTCCCGATTCTGCCGATTCCTTTTTCTCCCTCGTCTTTAAAAATAAAGAATATGATAAATACCACTCGCCTGGGTGGCGCTGCTGGAAAGGGCACTCTTCCTCTCGCAAAAGGTTGGGTGTTCGAATCCCGGGTGCCGCAGGGTGACTTAACCGGTGCACGTGTGTGGTGGCTAGCACGTGTCGGCCGTGCGGGGTTCCCTGGGTTACCAAAAAAAAAAAAACTCAACGAATTAGAGAGAGAGGGTGGAAGGAGAGGACGTTAGGGGGACTTGGAGGCCACGGAACGAGGACCAGATCGACGGGAGGAAGGAGAAGATGGAGGTGGGCACTTGACCAAGTCGGGAGCAAATGTGAACCGATGTCGTCTTACCTTCGGAGACGTGTGATGGTGCGATGAGGAGGAGATGAGCGGGCAAGCTCATCCGGTGACTCAGTGCTGGCTCACATCGCTTTGACCCTATGCGCACCACCTAACGGTCCATCCTTCCCTTTTGCCGCCCCCGCAAGCTTTTGCCTCTTTGACTTGGAGGGTCGTTCTCTCTTCAATCGATGAAGAGTGCTGTTATCTTGATTGTTCCTCTTTTGAGTATTTGATTAAATCAAAGTCATGCCTTCTAGGTTTATCGTCTCGACTTTGCCTCAGTCAATTCTCTCGAGATCTTGATCTCGATCTCGACGGAAAACGCTACGTTAAATGTTAACTTTACCCGTCTCTTACTTAGTCGATTTCCTAGCTAGATTGATAGTAATTGTTGGTTAATCTCCAGAAATGGATCACTTTGATATGGTTCTTTTGGACTTTAGAGCATACTCGATTCGCTTAGAACAAGGACTGAGATCTCTGTTATAGATGTAAATATTGTACTTTTGGCCAAATATTGGAAACGAGCTGCCTAACACCTGCCTATACAGTTGCCAAATATTGTACTTTTGGCCGTCCTCTGTTTCTGGTTATGCCTCGATCGGTACTTCTATTCTATGGTACTTCATTGGAGGATAAAATACTGGGTGTACCCAAATTT